ATTTTCAAGAGATTTGCCCCCCCCCCGGCATCTCCTATTGAAGAGATTTATAACTCTAGTTTTGATTAGATTTCTCGATGACTTGGGCATCGTGCAGCCCTATCGAAACCTATCTGGGACATATACTTATTTCAATAGCTTAGATATCGCACTCATTATCTCATATATTGGTTTAATTCATGAGATCTATGATCTATTTTAGAAGATCTGGCTTTCAGGGCTATTATCTGATTCTATAATTTGCAAATTCTTCAATTATATCATCTTTAGGATTCAATTAGATTTTGCCATTTATCATATACTTTGATTACTTCCGATTTTCTAATATTGCTGCTTCTCTTTACTATAATAGATCCCTTATATCCAATCGATTTCTCATTAATAATATTATATATACACAATCCATCTAAAACAAATCGATAAATCAAGGAGAGATCTTAACTTATATAATCTTGACTTCTAGAATAATTTTCTGATATTTTTCTTCTCGAAATAATATCGATTATATTTATTTTCGAAATTTTATAAAATCTAATTATATGTCAAGCAAACAAAATATATTATTATTTTCATAGAATTCTCATTCAAACTAATTAATCTCAAAATATATCCTATTTTTTAAATATAATATAACCTCCCATAATTTTGAATATAATATGAAACCATAACCAGTATCAGATAATTAATAAAATAATATCGAATAGAAATATTCGTTATCTTATGAGAAATAATTATAATTCAAGAATTCTATTTATAAATTCCCTCATATCTTCAATTTAAACGCAGATAATCATAGACATACCAATACTCTCAACATCCCGAGATTTTCGCGACTTCATATCGATAACCCTCATCCACAAATCCGAAACCCGAGCAAATCGTAATGTATAGATAGAATATATTTTATAAATTTATAATAAAATAATCGATATAATAATAATAAATATTCAGAATCTTATATATTAGATCATAAATATGGACGATAGATGCCACGACAGAAGATATAATAGACGAGACCGCGACGGACGACCCAACAACGACGACAGACGACGCAGTAGCAGACGAGATGACGACGGACGATAATATGAACACGAACGACACGACGACGGACGACGGACCAATGACGCGTGTCGGATGCCGCACGACACAAGCCGGACAGACTGTTCAGGCTTCCAAAATCGGAGAAATGCTCATCATCTCGTCTTCTTCGTAACGAGAATTCCTTCGCATCTTTATTCATGTAGCTCGACACCACCGAACTAACCGCACGAACGCATCGAGCGGACGGCAGCATGACATTGGAGTTCCATCAAATTTTAGGACGAAATAATAAGCGACTATATTGAAAAATGCTACCGATATTTTACTACAAATTTTGGGCACGGATCGTACCCAAAAATGCTGCGAATATTAGGTCTCGCTAAGAAGTGTTTCCTGCACCAAAATTTCCCGAGCACTTTGGAAGGAAAATCGTGGGGAAGTGATTCCGGCCCAAAAACTCCTGGATATTTTGGGGCAGGTGGGCTCAAAAAGTAAGCCCAGCTAAGGCATTCTTTTTTCATACAGTCGAAAATACACATGAGTCTCGATCTGCAGTAATAATAGTTTTGCAAAAATGCACTGATATTTCATAACGAAAACTGTTCTGAATACCAAATACGCGAACCTAAATATTCAGAAACGGATTATGTAAATTCAAACATGTCTGCTTGAACACGAACCCCTGAACCTGAAACCCTAAACCCTAAACCCGAACCTTTTTCCCGATTCTCTTTATTGTGTTCAGTCCATCTGAGACAGGTCATGGTGGGCTTTCACAGCCTTCTTGTAGGTTTTCAAAACCTCAGGATCATACAGGGGCACAATTAGAATAAGGCTTGGGGTCACCATAGTAGTTACAAGAATAATAAGAATAATAATAAAGAGCCCTAAGGAATAGCATAACCAATTATCTAATTATGCATGGACGTTGGACATTGTGGAATCCACACGTCCGCGTCCATAAGATCCTCCTTCTCAAAGCCATAGTGCCGGAAGCGGGCAGGATTAGCGGCTTAGGGTACTTTTTAAAATTTACATCCGGGTTTGTTTCCTACATCTGAAGCCCTAAACACTGGAACCCGAATCCGTGAACCCAAAAGCCCGCCGACACAAGAAACTCTAAAGCCCTAAACTGCTTGTTGCTTTTGGTTTCGAATTTGGGGCTTGTGGGGCTGGGCTGGGCTGGGTCCACTTCTTGCCGTGCTGGTAGTGCCTTGTTGTGCTGCCTTAAGCAACAGTTTTCACCAGCAACATAATGCACTTCCAAGCCGAGGTTGTGCTGTCATGGCATACAACTTCTATTCATGCTGGTCTTGAGGGTTTAAAGGTTTTGAGTTATGACTAGTGCTTGAGGTGGTGCTTGGCGCTTTGGGATTTAGACTTCTGGATCCACGGCTTTCGGGTTCTCGCCATGGAAAGGCCTTAACATTACGAATAGGGTTTCGGGACACACTAGTAATATGCTATAACAGCACGCGGTTAGTACTTCATCCGACCCCTCTGGTAAATGGAGGCGGGTTCGGACAGTAATTGTTGGAAATTCCTTGTGGCTAACTCCGACCAGCACTCATGGGGGGTGGGGCGTGAAACTGCAAACAAATGCAGATTCAAGAGTAGTAGTGATGGCAAAGCCATACTGTCGTCGCAACAGAGGGTTTGGGGGTATAGTTACTCTAGGACAGACATATAAACGGATTAGAAACCAGTTTTGCGAACCCCTAGATTCGATCTTTGACGGTCGTGTTCGGGCAGTAGAATGCATGAATCTGGGAGCTCAGCCAATCCACAGATTTGAAGCATAGCATAGGAGTAATGTAGGGGCCTTAATAAAAGGATAAAGTAGAGGACAGGATTTAGGTGCATATTTTACATTACAGTATACTCAGAGTTATCCAAGACCCTAAGGAAGAAGGTTGGAATTACCCTCGCTGCTATATTAGCATAGGAATATCTCAACTTGACACCGGCCACAAGCAGCTCACCTGTAGATGTCGGAAGCACACCGGGTGACTGCAACCTACAGGAATAGCCCACCGAGGGTTTAGGTTGCCGGCATGATCGCAAACCGCTGAGATGTTGTCCAAAGCTTTCTCCACCACAGCCTGGCGATCAAGATCTCTTCTTGGGGCTGGGTCTACGTAGGGTTTAGGTAGGGCCAACGGAGTGCCAAGTTCGTATGTTGGGCTTCCGGGGTCGAAACTGTCGGGGTGCACTAGGCAGTCACATCCTTAAAACCCAATCTCTGCCATTTCCGGTCTACAGGACGATGACGACGACCACAACAGCAACAGCAAGAACAACAAAAACTACTACTACACCTAATACCACTGCTGCTGCTGCTACTACGACGACGACGACGACGACTACTACTACTACTACAACTACTACTACTACTACTACTACTACTACTACTACCACTACCACTACTAACTACTACTGCTACTACTTATTTCTGCCACTAATACTGCTGCTATTCCTGCTATTCAATCTTGGTTGTAATTGTCACGACTCCGCGTTGCATTGGGTGCATGGTGTGATTCCTAGCCGATGTTCCAAATCCCGAACCCTGAACCCATAGTTGGAGGCCAGGTTGCATCCGTTGTCGTGCCAGCGTGGACTTGTACTCGAACGTTCATCTGGGGCTCCGATGGGTGAGGTATCTCAGCAAGCAAAGGCGTCCGCTTCATATGAGAATCACCATTATTTAGGCACGTTGCACATACACAGTTCAATACATACATACATGCATACATACATACATACATACATACATACATACATACATTCATTCATTCATTCATTCATTCATACACACACACACATACAGATATGTGTGCATGCGTGCATGGGTGCACGTAGGCATACACACGTACAGCACGATGGTACCGGTGCAAACGTAGCTGAGGCGCTGTGTACCCGGCAAACTCGACATCGGGATCTTTCATCAGCATATACCGCAGGGCGTTCCCCAGAGTGTGATCTTCTCCGGTAAACTGATACCTCGTGGGTGGGATGTGGGGTGCAGGGCTTAGGGCATAGGGGTTAACGTTTAGGGGGGGTATGGGGTTTAGGGGTGTAGCGCTTAGGGTGACATGATGGGCAGCTTGCGGCAGAAAAACTCCCTGAGACTGGATCTATGAACATGCAACAGTTCGACTGCAAACGCGGAGCTTCCAGCTTTCCGTAATGATAGTGATGTGTGTCCTATGGGCTTCTCGAACTCAGCTGCATCTTAAATCCTTCACCCTAAACCCTAAACCCTACGTCCTTGAAGCTTGGGCTGGTAATGCCGGGAGGCACATGGTATCTTGGCCGAGACGATTATCAGAACAGGTAAAAGGCCGACACAGATGATCGGATTGCTTCTGTTTAAGGGCTCTTTTATTCAATGCAAGGATCTATAGACCAGATGATGTGATTGCTTCCGTTCCTGATCGCCTCTTGCTGGGAAAGTTACCAGCCAAGCTTTTTGATTCCAGCCGACACGTTCAACCCATTTACCCAACATGCGTCAAAACACAAGAAGCCGTTGCACTAAGAACTCTAAATTTCTGAAGCACACACAAAGAGTTCTCGAAATTAGGCTCTGTATATAGAGAGTGTCGTAACTAATCTCTTAACTTATGCGAACCCGGGAAGAATTCAGGGTGTAGGCCGGCCAATACTCGATGCAGCTAGCAAGCGTGACATTGGTGTTGTCTTCCGCATCCGGCTGCTTCGTCATGTGCTTGACACGGCAACAGACGTGTCGAACAAGTGGCTAGCTGTTGTACTCAAGCTGGACGAGTCAGTAAAATCGGGGTGGTCGGAATGGTTAGCAACTTGTTCCCTTGTCGTCCCACAACCCTGATCGAATTGTTGAATACGGCCCCGAAAAAAGCCTAAGACGGGCTTCTGGTTTCTGCATTTTGCAGTCTGACACTGAAATCCTGCATGGCTGCGAACAATGACAAAACCGCATCTCGAGGTCGTCCTGAATCATTGATTGGTTGGAATGCTCTGATGTCGGTTTAGGGTTTAGGGTTTAGGCTTTGGAATGTCTAGAGAGGATTAATTGTTCGATTCTGCCATGTCCTTCGTCGTAGTCGCATTTTTTAGGTTTGCGCACTTCCAAGCTCGGGCTTTTGCTGCAGAAGCTCTTTGCCCCGTAGACTATATTATTTTCTCTTCAAGTCAAAGGGACTATAGTAATAGGATCCCCTTTAAGCGGATCCTGGGGACGGGTGTGGGTTGGTTTTTGGACGTGTCGCGGCCAGACGCGAACCCTAAAAGGTGGCCCTGAACTCTAAAAGAAAATGTTGTTTGGCAACGCTGAAACCCCAAAAGAGTTGGCAAACTCTAAACCCCAAACCGGGGAGTCAGACAATCAGACAGTTGTTACTCAGAGTCGCCGTTCGAATCATTGAACGCCACCTACTCCGGGGTTCTGGGAATGCGCCCTTCCTTTGGCGTGCGAAAAGGAGTTTGCTGCAGCAAGGCCATGAAGTGCAAGATGCTTGGATGGCTTCATGCTTATTTTCAATCGAGCTACACAATTAAGTATAAGTTGATAAACAAACATGTAGACGTGTACATATATATATATATATATGTAGAGGGCCATTATGATGGAGTTGTGTTCCCAATCAATCACTCACACTCTTAAGTTTTTCTAAAAGAGTCTTCGTGATTCTTCGGATGCAAGTTCGCTGTGATTACATGGGGGCCCCAACGGCCGCATTAAACAAAAACAAATCGAACGCTAACCTCCCCATTGTACCCCAAAAAAGCTCGGGGAGCGCATGACTGCAGCTGCACATTAATATTCAATCATGGTGTGATTCCGTGAGGCACCTGGAAGGTGTCCTGCGTCGATGTCAGCGCTTCATGGGCCCCAAAACCCTATTCTATTTACTAAGGCCTCTACATTGCCCACGGTCGCGCGGCCCGCGGTCGGCTGTCTCACGGTCATTCGGTCATTAGGGGTTTGCCAAACAACGAACATGTGGGTAGTTCTCTACATTGGGGTCCTTTTTATATCATAAGGGTGCCGCCTTCTTTCGGGTTCCGAAAACAGGAACCTTAACACAGAACTCACCGTATGTACCCCGTTTCAACCAAGTAGGGTCATAAGGTTGGAGATTTCGTATTCGACCTTAGGGCTTATCTATGCTCGTCAAGAACCTGCTTCATGGTCACGCCTGAAGGAGCATCCACTTTTGCTTCAGCAGCTCTCTGTAGCATGAGGGTAGGGCCCATCCGCTGGTGCAGTTGGTCGTCTGAGTCGGCAATAAGCGAAACGAGACGCCATGATTGAAAGCACCATGTCGAATTCCTGGCATATGGCTATCAGGAAGTGACTGCGGCCTGTGTTGCAGTGAGACGTGGGCAACTGAGTCCAAGCCCTTGCTGCCGCAGCCGATGTCTGATTCTGTGCAGCGCCCGCGCTGCTCAAAGAAGTCCTTGCCCCCCTGCGCCCATACCTCAGCTCAGTTCTTGCTTGGCCGAAGGCCGCTTCAGTCTAGCACGACTTGGATATCGATATTGCATGGACCAAGACCAAGCGCACTGAACTGCAATAGTATGGCCGCCATAGGAATCAAGGAAGGGATTTTTTGGGGGTATTCTAGGAAAACTGAGCAGGATCTCCATAGAGGGATACAGCGGAACCTTCTTAAATTCACAAACTCAGACCACTGTTTCATAATATTAGCTTCATCTACCAGAACCTATTTTTGGTAGGTCCTTCTTGTAAACCCTTAAAATAGAATTTATAGGGGCCCTACAAAAAAGTAGGTTTTGGTAGTCTAAGGTAACCGACTTGAGGCCCGACCTGCATCTTCGCCACGGATTCGGGGAACCTAGCGAAAGTGTTTAGGGTTTAGGGTTTAGGGTTTAGGTTTAGGGTTTAGGGTTTAGGGTTTAGGGTAAAGGCCAAAGGGGGCATCAGCACGTCTGTGCTTCAAGGATCAGTAGGTTTAGGGTTTAGGGTTTTAGGGTTTAGGGTTTAGGGTTTAGGGTTAAGGGTTTAGGGTTTAGGGTTAGACTCAGTAAGCGGCTTTGGGGTTTAGGATTTAGGGTTGGAGTCATAGTGAGTACCCTGATTGGGTTATCCTCCTAGTCGGGGCTATCCTTCCTATGGTGCTTCATATAACCTACTTACCATTCCCGAGTCCTTTAGCATTCTACTTGTGATCGTACGGGCCTCGCCCAAACTGCTGAGATCATGATCAATCCTCACTCCTGTCCAAAATGGTCCTGAAGCCAACCTTTCATCTAGACCACTATGATCATGATCACCAACACGTTGCGTGATACGAGCATGGCTTCCGTCAGTACATGGCCATCCAACGCCTGCAGTCAACATCTATTGACACCATCATCGACATCAGCATCATCATCACCACCACCATCATCACCATCATCACCATCAGCATCAGCATCAGCATCAGCATCAGCATCAGCATCAGCATCAGCATCAGCATCAGCATCAGCATCACCATCACCATCACCACCATCATCATCATCATCATCATCCTCATCATCATCATCATCACCACCGTCATCACCATCATCACCATCATCACCATCACCATCACCATCATCATGATCATCATCATCATCACCCTAAACCCTACATAAACCCTAAACCCCCTAAGCCCAGTACACCAACATGACAGTCACCATTGCAATCGCCGCCATGCGTGTACAATTCTCTCCTGTAAGCCCTCTGGGTCAGCTTTACATGTTCCTCAAAACCCTACACCCCAACACCCAAAACCCAGAACCGCTAAACTTCAAAATCCGCAAACCCCAAAACCCCAAACATGACACCTGCCTCAGAGGTATGCGGCCACGTAGGACGAGTAATCCGGCTCCTGTCTCGCTTTGCGTGTGCGGCTTCGAGGTGATCGGAGGCTTGGGGTTTTCGGTTTTAGGGTTTAGGATTTAGGTTTAGGGTTTTAGGTTTAGGGGTTAAGGCCGGTAGGGTTGAGCGGTTTTAGGGGTTGAGGGGTTTAGAGTTCAGGGCTTAGGATCTAGAGATTGACGGTTTCAGGTTGCATATGCACTGTTTAAGGCTTCGGGTTTAGGCTTTGGGCCAAGGGGGGTTGCTCTAAGTTTAGATTCTTGACTGTCTCGGCTTAAGAAAGCCATGGCCTTTGCAATGACTTCTGGGTAACTTGGCGTCATACCCACTAAACTCCAAACCGCACACCCTAAACCATACAGGGCTCAGGGTTTACGCTTGGGGTGTATGGCCTGCCGGTACAAGCTTATGCCAAGCGAAACTTTGAATAACGACAACAGCACAAATCATGATAAGTAGTAATGTTCATCGTTACAGTAGCAGTCGTTGAGTAAGAGTAAGAGTGACACTAGTTACACTAGTTATAAGTTGCACTGGTAGGAGCAAGAACAAGACAGTCAGAGTAGTCTGTAGTAGCAACAACAGTGGTAATAGTACCGAATAGCAACACTGCGGCTGATAATGCTGAAATAATATGGTCATGATGAGAAAGATAGTAGTGTAACTACTCCTGAATTACAAAGCCATCCTCCAATTCATGCGGAATCCGGACAGAATTAGGAATTTTTCGGTTTAAGCTAGTTAAGGCTTTGGGGCTTAAGTTTTCAAGGCTGTAGGGTATAACCGCTCCATGGCTCTATGGCTTCAGGGTTTAACTGTCTGGTGCTTAGTAGGGAATGGGGGAATGGATCCCTATGATCGTCCCTTAAGGTCCCTTATAGTAGTCCCTATGACCCATTCCCTCATTCCCTACTAACCCTAAACCCTAAACCCTAAACCCTAAACCCGGGTTTAGGGTTTAGGGTTTAGGGACAGTTAAGTGTAGAGGGCTTTCGGCTTGAAGTCCTCGGAACTTTGGGTCTTAGAGCCCGGGGATTGACTTCAAGCTAGCACCCTTCCCCCAAAGCCACACCCGCAACCTTAAAGCGCACAACTTAAACCTAGGACATGGCTCAAGCTGCAAAAACAAAACCCCTAAAACTCGAACCTGGCGTCCTGGACCTTCATGCTCTGAACCATGTTTTGGGGTGCAGGGTTTAAGGTTTAGAACCGAAACCCCAAAACACCTCCGTAGAACTCTTTACAACCCTGTGCAACTAAGCCGTGGACCCTACAAGCCCAGAAGCCTTAAACCCTCAACCCTAAACCCCTTAACCCCTCAAGTCAACCCTTCAACCCTAAACCCTCAACCCCTAAACCCCAAACCACTACACCCAAAACCTTCAAAGTTTGGGGGTTTAGGGTAAACTCTACAGAAGCCCCAAAGCCTCACCGTCACCCTGCTCGATGGGCTCCCTGGCCACGAAGACTTTGATTTTGGGGTTTAGGGTTTAGGGATTAGGTTTAGTTTTGGGGTTCAGGGTTTGGGGTCTAGGAGGTGTGTGCTTTCCTAGTTATGATTTTTACGGTTCGGGCTGGATACAAGCGGGTTCTGATACGTAGAGGCCTTCATGGCTTGTAGCAGCTGATTCTTCACTCTCCTCTTTTCTATCAGGTCTGTAAAGCCAGTTCTTGGGCTGTTCGGGGGACTTTCATGGCCTAAGGGATGCAACTCCTGTAAAACCTAGGGCCCTAGGGCTTAAGGCTTAAAGAGTTGATTGCTTTGCGGGTTCCTTCCTGGTGAGTTCAGTCATCCGGGCTTCAGAAACCCTAGACCCCTTAAACCCGACACTCTAAACCCTGAGCCCCAAAACCCTAAACCCTGTACCCAAAACCATAAACCCTGTACCCAAAACCCTAAAACCCTTAACCATAAACCCCATACTTCCGAAGGCGACCTTCACTCCTCAACCTTACACCCCAAGCTTTGGGTACAAAAACCCACCTTGTAACAGCTATACTAGGGGTCATACGGTTGATGATATAAACCCTGCATTAGCCATAATCAGGAATCAGGAATATACCATAGTTCCCCTAGTTTAGGGTCCTTATGGTAATGCAGGATCTATATCATCAACAGTACTAAGGGCTCTATGGAGGTATATACACGTTTTCTGGCTGATGCAGAGTGGGGGCCGCTACCACTCCAAAATTCAAAAACCTCACGCCTGAACCCTTACCGGCGGCCTCTAAACTCTAAGACCTGCATTTAGGGAATCTCCAGACTTCAACGTACTATAGGGGGCTTCAAACAGCTGGAGTACGGTTTTGGGGATGGTTATCTTATACTATATCTAAAGGAACCCGAAAGGATGGTTTTTCTAGTCATTCCGAACCCTCCCCCTTACGGTTCCGGAGTTATAGGTAATTATAGTATACCTTGAACCACCATGACCTACTTTTTTCGTAGGTCCTTACTATAAACCCTGATATAGAATTTATAGGGACCCTACAAGAGTAGGGTTCTGGTAGTTTAAGGTGAGATAACCGCCCCAAAAACCGACTGTAGGGGCCTTATATTAATTTCCCATAAGATTTGGTGAGTTCCTTATTTTAATTATAGTATAATGGGGCCCAATCAGGAACGCCCCTCAACCCTAAACCCTTATAGTAGCCCCTATAGAACCCTTTAAGGAACCCTTCAAAGGAGCCCTTCAAAACCCTGTTCTAATTATGAACCGCCCCTATATTACATGGCGGCCTCCCTGTGCGCCGGGCGATAGCCCGAGCTAAGGCATCCATTCGCCCTGGCCCCGTCCGCCAAAGCTCGCCTCTCAATTGCGGGGGATGAGGGTTTAAGGATTAGGGATTAGGGGTTTGGGGATTAGGGGTTTAGGGTTTAGGGTTTAGGGACTAGGGATTTAGGGATTAGGGTTTAGGGGTTTAGGGATTTAGGCTTTAGGGGTTTAGGGATTTAGGGTTTAGAGATGGGCTTTCATAGCTATGATGGGGGTCTCGAGCGGTAGGGTCTTGAGGTTTACGGCTCCCAGAGGCTCAAAAGTACGTCGACATCCCGAAAGGTTACCTCCACTTGAAGGTAGTGCATGGCGTGACATTTACAAAGGGCCCAGGTCCATTGTTCAACATTCTGACCATTTTCGCCTGAGGGAACTAGTAAGCAGGAGTGCACAGATGCACACGAAGGTTGGGACTCAGGCACAAAGGTTCACGGTCTCGGGTGCTTGCTCGGGGTTTGGGGGTGTTTCCTGCTTTCAGGCGTGATGAGGACAAGCGCACTCACAATAATCATACTAAACCACAACAGCAATCACAGTGCCCTCGTCATACATGCAATGGACACTTGAACCGGAGCCTCCTACATAGCCTGGGCATTTTCGAGGCTTAGGGCTCAGATTGCAGCGCGCCTGTCTTAAAAGCTAAGGGCTTCGGAAGTACCATTTAAAAAATCGGAAAGAACAACCAATTATGTAACGGTACATGTGTAGCATAAATATATATATATATATATATATATGTATATACACATACTATGAGCACACATATGTGATACAGGTGTGTATATATGTATATACACATACACATAAAATATGCACATATGTACGGGTGTATATATATATATAATGTATAGTACACATACAACCCTAAACCACAAGTAAGCCCTAAACCCATTGCCAAGGCTTTCTGCCGATGACTGAGACGAGACGGAGAAAGGAACTGAGGACCTGCTTCCGCCCTAGACCCCCAAACCCTAAAACAAACCTAAACCCTATTTAAACCCTAAGCCCTAAACGCCTAAACCTTAAACACAAAACCCTAAACCGTAAACCTGGGAGGGTCGGAAGCGAGAAGCAGGCTTCGGCCATGTTCTTTCAGGCTTCCGTTCGACCTCTTTAGGGCTTAGGCTTTAGGGGTTCGAGGTTCAAGGGCCTTAGGGGTTTAGGGTAAACCCCAAACCCTCAACCCCGAACCTTACGAACCCTTAAGGATCGACCCCACTTCGGACTTGTACCTAAACCCTAAACCCTAAACCCTGTGGAGGGGCCTAGTAGTTGCCTCTCTCGCATGAGGGCGATGGGGAGGGGCTCCTGGCAACCGTCCCGCAGAATGTAGGGCTGAAGAGTTAGAACAGGGTTTTGGGGCTCCTTTAAAGGGTTCCTTAAAGGGTTCTATAGGGGTTACTATAAGGGCTTAGGGTTGAGGGGCCTTAATAATTAGAATCGAGTGTTGGGGTATATTATACTATAAGTATAATAAGGGACAGACCAAAATAGTTTTGGTAATTATGCAGGCCCCTGTATACGTAGGGTTTTGGATTCGAGGTTGAGGGTTCAGGGCATGGGTTGCAACAAGGGCTTAAGGTTCAGGTATAGTTCTTGCCTTATCGGCTTGATAGGGACATGTAGGAATTTGGGTTTAGCTGGGCCCCGGATGAAGTTCTCCAAAGTGGCGTCCTAAGTCCCACCGCACTCTGGAGAGTTCTACAAGACAGATCTATAGTAAGGGTTCCTCGCTTCATAATGCATAAACCCTAAACCCTAAACCCTAAACCCTAAACCCCATAGCAAGGCCGCAATGGTCACAAGTAGCCCTCAATTGCGGGTCGCCCTAAATCACTCTGCCTTTGAATTCTCAAACCGGCCCTAAGGTTTCGTAGGCGGATTAATAGGCCCTACTTACGGTTTAGGGTTTAGGGTTTAGGGTTTAGGGTTCCTACTTCGGATCCACGGTGGAGGTTTCGGAATCTTAGCTTTCAGAGGGGCTTCTTGTCCTCTCATTGGGATTCTACCCTAAACCCTAAACCCAGTATGAATTTATCACGGGTGAACGCCTGGAAACAACCGTAAAGAACCAGCATTCATCACGGGTGAACGCCTGGAAACTGCAGGTGGAGGTTGAGGCTTAGGTGTGCGGGAGGATTGAGATAGGGTTGAGGGTGTAGGGTTCATAGGGTATAGGAGTTGTAGGGTTTAGGGTGTAGGGTTTATAGGGTTTATAGGGTTTAGGAGTTTAGGGTTTAGGGTGGGAGGATCGAGATGGCTGATATTTTTTCCCTCTTCAACCTCCTTCTTCCTCTGTACACAGAGAGGCCTCGAGGCCTTTCGGCACTCGGGAGCTCGGCATGCTGAATTTCTGGTCACAGCGCGTGGCTGTGCAGGGCTTGGAGAACAACGGGTCGTCCTCCTTGGCTGCGGCAAAGCTAAACCCTAAACCCTAAACCCTAAACCCTAAACCCTAAACCCTAAACCCTAAACCCTAAAACCAAAAGGACTAAAGCCTCAACCCTCAGGTTTGAGCCTAAAGCCCTCCCAAACCCTGAAACCCCAAAACCCAAAAGCCGGGAATCCCGCCGTAGAAAATCTAAAAGCTAAGATGCTCTGAGCTCTGACCGTGACGGGCTTGCTTGATGTGCTGATGTAGGGGCCTTACTAATTAGAATAGGCCCTGTAAAGGGTTCCTTAAAGGGTTCCATAGGGGCTACTATAAGGGTTTAGGGTTGAGGGGCCTTAATAATTAAAATAGGGTTTTGGGCCCGTGATACTGAATATAATACGGAACCACCAAAATAGTATAGGTCATCAATAAGGCCACTATATTAGTCTTTTTGTCGACCCATGTCAACGCTGAGCACTTAACTAATCTAAGGCGCCTAGATGACTAGACCAGGGTTCTTTTGGGGGAGGTTAATATAGTAGAACTACTCTTGATGATATAAACCCTACATTACCTTAAGGACGGTAAACTATGGGAACCTGGTCTATTCCTTATCTTGGGTACTGCAGGATTTATATCCCTAAACCCTAAACCCCTAGGCCCTAAACTTTAAATCCTAATAGGGTTAAGGGGTGTAGGGGTTTAGGTTTAGGGTTTAGGGGTTTAGGGTTCCCTTTGGCTTTCACAGCGCGAGAAACTAGATGTCCCAACGCCTAGACCCTGAACCCTAAACCCCTAAACCCTAAACCCTGGCCCAGAACCCTATGCATGCGCGAATCCGTCTAGGAGTTGTTGGTGGAGAATGCCCTAACACCCTATACTCCAGGCTTTGGGGGTTAGAGTTCAGGGTTCAGGGTTTCGGGTTTAGGGTTTAGGCTTTAGGGTTTAGGCTTTAAGGGTTTAGGGTGAGGGTTTAAGGGTTTAGGGTTTAGGCTTTAAGGCTTTAGGGGCTAGGGTTTAGGGTTTAGGGCTTAGGGTTTAGTGCTCCTCTGCAGGTAGGAAGCTTCCTGATGAGAGTTTGGGCCTCTTGCCACAACACCGATCCACATTTGGGTGGTTGTCAAAATTATGGTCCCTTTTGGGGTACCCTAAATAATAGGTGCCGTATTATAATAAGGACCCAAAAAGGGACCATAATTTTGACAACCACCCATTTGGGGGCCCTTAGAGGTATGTTCCAACCTCGCTGGGCGTGATGAGCTTTACATCCATGGTGTCGGGTTCAGAGAAGCGGGCTCTTGCTAACTCGGCCCAAGTACGCCCTGAACCTCATAAGCCTAAATCTGGCACCCTAAACCCCGAGCCGTAAGCTCTGAACACCTGAGCCCTAAAGACTAAAACCCTAAACCCTAAACCCCTAAACCCCAAACCCTAAACCTTAAACCCTAAACCCTAAACCCTAAGAGACTAAAATCCCTATCTCCGCTTTGGGGACTCCGAAGGGGAAGGCTCGAACGAGCCTCCCTGCCAAACCAGCGCTGGAAGGAATTTTTGGTTAAGGGTAATAGGGTTTAGGGAACACCAGAATGGTAAAGAGGGTGCTAGAATGGCAAAGTTGGGGCTTCGAAATTGGGAGTTAAGGTTTTAAGGAGACTCCTTAACAACCCTAAACCCTAAACCCTAAAACCAGAGAAGTGTTTGAGGAACGTGGCCGGTCTGACTGGCTGCTCCATCAGCAAGATGGCGCAGCTGTGATCTACAAGATTCGGCACCAGTCCTTGGTATTACAGGGGCATCCACGATTAGAATAAGGCATTGGGGGTACATGATGCTATTCTTTCATAACAGGGCACCCCAAGGAACAGCATTTCTGGTATTCAGGCTTCTGTGCTCAATCATGGCTGGGGCTCCAAACATCCTAAAGCCGTCGACCGCCATAGCAGGTACGATGTATAAACTGCAGAGCTTGAGGTAGGTGCAGCTGGTTGAGGGGTTGCAAGCGTGAAAAAAAGGACTCGGAAGCTACATGACCAAGCTAGTGCAGACGAAAGTGACGGGTAGTATAGCAACACAGGCAACTGTGGACCAGGAGTGCGTCAAAAGCCTGGTGGATGTTAACAGGACGAGCCGCGGTCATGGTCGTATGCGTGGGCTGTGATCATGTCATGCTGCTACTGTAAAGACCTGATGTGGTATTTCACTACGGTTTCGGGGTATAGCATAGTCTGCTCAGCTTTCTTCTGACTTGTTTTGCGAGGAATGCTACGACTGTTCATGCTTCTGCGACTGCTACGTGGGGGTTGCCGCAAAATAGGGGACCCCAATACAGTACCCCAAACAGTAGGATCCTCATTACAAGGACCCCCAAAATAAGGTATACTCCCCCCCCCCCCAAACCCTAAACCCTAAACCCTAAACCCTAAACTCTAAACCCAAAACCCAAAACCCAATTTTTGGAAACCCTCACATCGCGAACTAAGCCCCGAGCCTCCCCGAGCGGTACCCCACGCTCGAAAGTGAAACCGTTAGGGTTTAGGGTTTAGGGCTTAGGGTTTAGGGCTTAGGGTTTAGGGTTTAGGGTTTAGGGTTTAGGGGTTTAGGGGTTTAGGTCTTAGAGAACAAAATGGGGATGAGGGAATCAGGGCCTTGAGGGCTGCAGGCTGAGAAGGATGGAGTTTCAATCAGGGGTGTACGGTGTACATTGAGCCTTCTGCGATTCCTAGCATGCAGTTCGGGGCGCATTGAGAGAACGGGGGTCTCGGAGGATGCATAGTAGGATGCTTTTCGATTTCGACGCTGGGCTTCCTGAAGGCTTCCTTCCGGCTGCCTGGCCACGCACTGGAAAAGCCAAGTCCTTCCTCATGTACTCCTCCGTGCCCGCTTTGCACAAGTTGAGGCACAGGTTCTTGCAACCACCAGATTCTTCGATGAACTTGCACCTTGCACAGCCCATGGATCGGATAAGAACAAGTACCCGCTGTCGCAGCTGCGAGACGAAAGCTCAAACAAGATCTAAACTAGCTGCCTTCAGAATCATCAAGCGGGTTCTGGGTACATCTTACTATAAATGTTCTGCGGAGCCCTACTCAGAATTTGTAATCTTTCATGTCAGCTGCGGCATGGGGCGGTGGTGAGATTGGGAATGAAACAGATGTGACGCCCCAGCGGTATCGATGACGGAACTCCTCACACTGGCTAACTGTCCTTCATGACTTCTTGAAAAGTTCGGCAAATCCTGCATGTGGGCTTGCAGGCCTAGCAAACAAGCCTTGTGTACAATCATCCCTGCGAACTAATGACGATCATTAAAGCGACATTGCTTAGCCCACCTCTCAAAGTAGCTCGTAGCCTTCAGCATGATGGCTCTTTGCCATCGGTAGTCTGAGTCATGCGAGCCCCACTATCATGGCGAACACTCACTAACCATATTCTCAGGGCAGCACTTCTTCAGCATCATCACCCCACTCGGAGCCACATCGATGCCGTCATTTCGCAGCTGCTGGATCAGAGTCTCCTCCTGCGCTCCGGCTACGGTCTAGGGCGTATAGGGCCTGGGGGCAGAAGCTATAGGAAGGGTCACGGTAGGCAGCTTTGCCTTACCTTACGACTAGGCCACCAACCCCGGTTCTTGAGAGCAGAGCTTCAAAGCCGAAATCTCGGAAATTGAGCCAATGCTCCAGGAAGCCCGAGTGAGGAGCTCCACCCCATGTTTTGCTGCCTTCGACTAAAATTAGGCCTCAAGAGTGATGCCCAATCCCATTATGTTAGGATTGATTCGGTTGAGGGCTTAGGGCTACAGCAAAGACACAAAGCGATGCCAACGTTCGCTAGGACTGCCGCAGGCCTACATCCAAGATCATGCCAGGTCATCTTGCACCTGAAACCCTATATCCTAAACCCCTGTATCCACCCTAAACCCTAAACCCTAAACCCTAAACCCCTAAACCCTAAAGCCCTCAACCCAAGCTAAAGCCTGCTCCACCCCAATGAAACCCTCTGAAACCCTGTCAAGACCTTCTAAAGGCCTTCGAAAATCCTGTCAGACCTGGACAGGAACACTTTGAACACTGTGTCAATTGTGCAAATCCCTAGGCCCTCACACCTAAACGCCTAAAGCCCTAGACACCAAACCCCAAAATGGGGGTTTCCGAAGATAGGGGACCCTAATATAGTACCTTAAATAGTAGGATCCTTTTTTAAGGAGCCCAAATTAAGGTACCCCCCCCCCTAAACCCTAAACCCTAAACCCTAAACCCTAAACCCAAAAACCCTGAACCCAAAACCCTATTTTTGGAAACTCTCAAATGGCCTCCTCCTGCGAGAGCACTCGGCTCTCCCCCACAAGCCATCTCGAGCCGGCTGCGCCGAAGGTGGAAGTGCCGAACCTCGCGGTTTAGGGTTTAGGGGTTTAGGTGTTTAGGGTTTAGGGGTTTAGGGTTTAGGACTTTGGGTTTCGGGTTTCGCGGGTATTGTTTGAGGGTTGGGTTTAGGGTTTAGGGTTTAGGGGTTTA